TTTATTTTTATTTACATCTTCATTCACCCATTTCTACTACTTATTACCATGACCGCCTCCCAACAACATTCACCCCTATATTAACATGTACCCATTTTTCCTAATTTCAACCACCACCTCGATCAACAACAACATGATCATCGTCATTATATTTCACCTCCTTTTCCTACTTTTCCTCGATCTGTTGTCCATGATGGTGCAGTGTACTTTGGCTCTCCTCTTGGTGCCTCGAGCAGTCTCCAGCCTCACCCACTGGAAGACGGTGTCTGTTCTTCGCAAGGATCCTGAATTGAGGGTGTAGAGAAAAAATTATCATCAAGCCTAACTTGATTTTGCACCAATACTGAGTCGGACTTCGAGCTCACTTTGCTCCAGTCTGCAGGTGTCAATCCAGGTTTCTGCTTACCGGCACGGAAGCTCACCAAAACTGACTGTCATCTGGTCGGATCGATTGACGTCTTGGCTGATTCAGCTTAAGGTAAAAAAACAAAACAACAACAACCATTACGATCGATACCCAGCCGCCTAGCGCATTTGTCGCGATGTCGACGCAAGAGATGGCCGCTTCATGAGGTTGCGTGCGCAGAGCAGCTGCGCCACCTGAGCTGGTCCGGAAGCGATGTTCGTTGCTCCATCTTCTGGAGAAAGCGATCATAAGGTGATCCAAAAGCGATCCGAAGGCGATCTAACATAAATGCGGAAGAGATCGGTAATCACGACGTTGTCTGCAGTTTCGTCCGCTCGATCAGCTCGAGCTTCTGAACTGCGGTCGTGGTGTCTACGTGGTCCGACGACTGGGTCACTTTGGCTCTTGAGGTGGGAGGAAAAATGTCGTCAGTCTGACGGATTCCTACAGGACCAGTTAACCAGGCCTATGATGGTCTGGCTGTATCATCGGTCAACCTATCGACTTGTTGGCATCCGCCCTCCTCGCTCTCAGCCGGACCTGACTCGAGCTCTAAGCCGATGCAGCCACGTTTCAATACAGTCGGTAGCGAGGCTATCTGGCGGCTATCAGGAGCCTGATTGGTGTGGCCGTAGGCAAGGTGAACTCTACCATGCCTCATCCCACCTCACTTCCCTCCACTCCACTCCATATCACATCACACCACACCACCTCCACTTTTACTCGGTGGAACTATAACAACTTACATGCGGATACTGAGCAAGCATATCAGCCCCCAGATTACAGTAGCCACAATAGCCCATTTTAGGGCACTCAGGTACTGATGGACAACTAAAGATTTCATAAAATGTAGGCTTCGAGATTATCACTAAATCATGAGGAATAAGAGATATAAGATATGCTCACCCTATTTCGTGTAAGGTGATGAAGGACTAGTAGTAAATTGAGTATACATTACAGTTCCATTGAATTTCACATATCCTTGCTTCCCAAAAGGCATTCTTATCCAGAATGGACTGCAATTTTGACTTCGCCCAGGTCTTATCAACATCCCCTGTGGGATAAAAAATGAAACATGATTAACTTTGTCGATTGCCATAGCAAATACAACCTTGCTTCATCAGCAATCTCACCACAGAATGTGGTATGGGCCTTCCTTAAATTCACATCAACCCTGTGACCCAAAAGCTCTCGTGGTAATACAAAGTAGTGGGTAAGGTGTCGAGAATGCACGCTGCGCACCCCTCTGGGGTGCTAATAAGACCTAAGCGAGGTCTAAACTAGAGTCCACCCTGGATAAGAATACCTTTTGGGAAAGCAAGGCTGTGTGAAATTCAATAAAAATGTAAGATCTACTCATATCATTATAGGAAAAATTCAACTGCCACTCTTCTTATCACCTTAAACAGAATAGGATGAATAGGCTTCATATATAAATACTCTACTGGTTGTCTCGAAAACCTAGCAATATAAAAACGAAAAATGTACCAGGTGTTGTGCTTACATCAATTTAGAATGAAAATGTGTGGTAAAGAGATTTGAAAGTTTATCCGACTAAAAAACGACGGTGGAGTCTTCAAGATCAACTGTATCTTGGCTCTATTAGAACATTCTGTCAGAAGCTGTCACGGATTCTGGTGAAAACGTGCAAATCGTTTGTCTGTCACATGACGGATATCAACGGAACAGGATGTTATTCTCACAATCATATTCAAACTCACGAGTCGAAATAGCTCACTGTCTTACACATACATGCCGCGGATGTACCCTAAACATATGCATTCTTATCAGTTATACGGTGACTTGGTTAGTTCAAATCAATCTAAAGACATTTACATGTATATGTGCCTGCTTATCCACCCTCATGTGTACGTATATGGGCAAAACCAATAATGATAGCTCAGAGTAATTAGAAGAGTGTAAAATCTCTTTTTCGTCATCAAGGTTGAATGACCCTTTTTTATACCATCGTCTCGATTGCATTATGTTGGGCGAATGTCTGGCTAACTTGATGAGATTTTCTGTGTGTCTGTTAGAGAGAGAAAGAAATAGAAAGAGAGAGGAAGAAAGATAGAGAGTGAATTAAGATGTGTAGAAAGTGTCTTCATTATTAGAATAATGACCAATAGGGGATTAGTTGAGCCGCCTCGTGCTTCCAGGCAGCTCATTCTGA